CGGAGGGAGAGGGAGCACGGGAGGCTGCGAGGAGACTCGAGGAGACTCGAGGAGAGGAGAGGAGAGGAGAGGAGAGGAGAGGAGAGGAGAGGAGAGCTCTGTAATCACCAGCAATCACTGACTGGCAGTGGCACTGACTGGCATCTTGCTGAAAATGCTTATCCATTGCCATCTGGTCACCACAGTCAAATTAGCAGACCTAGAAATGGCTTTTTTCAAAACATCACTGTATTGCTATCAAAAAAGTGGTCTGGCAATGCTTGCTAATTTTCAAGAGTGTACTATTAGAATTGGTTGTGGGGAATTTCTGACTCAAACTGTTGATGAAACTTCTATTTTCTTTTCATGTTGGATCCTGGCATTCACAAAGAGAAAATTTGATTCCTCAGTGTGTTGCAATACCTTTCTTAAATACATGTTAATTTTAATGCAGTACAAGGTGCCAGATTTCATTTTCAGAAAATCTTGCTTGTTTTCAGTATGGAGAAAATTAGAAATATAGTAGAAATAGAAGGAAGTACCTTGCTTCAGGGCATGGAGTTGTTGCCACCTAGGAAAGGGTCAGGAAGGGAAAAAATTCTTATGTAGAATATGGCACAGATGGGAGCATGCATTACTGGGTAAGGGGAAGAGCCAGCAGTGTGATACCTGGAGCATCACTATCCTTTGCCCTGGAGACTCACTCTCCTCCTTAAAAACATTAATAATGGAACTGGATATTTACATTGGGGAAAATAAGTGTTTAACCACTGCATGCAGCTGCAGGATGAAAATGGGGAGTGCCTTTGGGAAACTGAAAGGTGAATGGTACAAACTAGAAGGCTCGAGGCAACTGAGTAGTACCTGTCTGGAATAATAACTGTGTCCTGTGTTCTGCACAACATCTATGAAAACAAGGCTGGGGTTTTGTGAGACCTGGGAGCAGGTGTGGGGATACTTTTAGGATGGAGGATTTAAATGACACACAATGAGTTCCCTTTTAGACAACAGTGGTTAGCTTTCCATGTATTTTGCAAGAAAGGATGGATGGTTTTGTTATGCTGTGAGGAACATGAGGGTAGGGCAGGGTGACTGGGCACACCACAACTTAATGGAATTCTGCAGAATAATGCATCTCAGTTGGTTTGATGCATGGGTTTGTTGGGATTTCTCTGTAATCAGGCAGAGATGATCTGTTTGCACACACTATATTTTATGAGTTTTAAACTTGAGGCTTATTTGTGTTGTGATACACAACAAATGGGTATATTTGGACAGTGGTGCTCATGTGGGCTATGCTCTACATGCTTTTCACAATTTTCTTCAAGCTTTTAGCTTAGATTGTAGCACATCCTTACCAGTTTTTTCTCTGTTCTCTAACAGTGATATCTTCTTGGCCCCTTGGTTGTTTTTTCGATTTCTCTCTTACTTTTTCTCACTCTGTTAGAAGCATTTGCAAAATCCCTACACTCACAGGTTTTTCTTACACAAGGGAAAAGTGTAAGCGTAAATCCTTTAATCATGAAATGTAAACAGTTGTTGGTTGGTTTCCATAACAGCAAAAATGGAAAAAGCAACTGTACAAGAGGTTGGTCCTTAGGAGTTTTTATTAAAATCTTGGGAGATTTTGGTGTTGATAAATATTTTCCAGTTTTCTTTCAATATTTTTTCCAAGCTGGATTTGTTACTATGCTGAATTTGATTAGCATGGAGAGACTGTATGAGGCAAAAGGCCTTAAGCCCAGGTAACTAATTAACCACAGGGTTCAGAGAAGGTGAACACAGATAAGGCTGGCTGAGTGCTTGAAATTTTACAGGCAGCTTTTACCAGTGGATAAAACTCCCCCTTTGTGTAGTGAATCAGCACCTTTGGGGCTTTTTTACAAACAGAGGGAAGATAGGCTTGCCATAATTTGTGCTGTCTGGCTTCCTGTTCTTCATGTGGTTGGAAGGGCGCAGTTTCAATTCAGGAGTGACAGAGGAGATGACCCTGACTTGAATGTCCCTAAAGAGGTTACTTTGTGTAACTAATATGTGCTTTTTTTACAATCAGATTGATGATGCAGATGTGCTTCAAGTTTTCTGTGCAGTTAATTCACTGAATTTAAGGAGGCTGGAGAGGTAACAATGTTTCTTCCCACTAATTTGCACTTTCAAGGTACTGTCTCCTTGTACTTTATGTGTAACCACAGTACTTTTAAACCACATTGATTAAGGTTCTACTGTTAAGTAAAGCCTTTTAAGATTTTCCTTGATATCAAAAAGCCTTTATGAGGCCTTACTAAAGGAGGAAAAAAGCCACAATGAGCTTTTAACTGAAGAGAAAACGTCTTGCTAAGATTTGTCAAGATAACAAACTTGCACTGGTTTTGTGATTTAATTCCTTGCATGATCAAAATGCAGTGCATACTTTGTAATGAGACCATTCAATGTTTATTTTTTAATAAACTCCCTTTTCTGTTATCAGCTTGGCTTTAATCCGGGGTGGTGAAGAACAGGACAGTTTTGGGGTCCTCAGAAATGGGAAAATCTTTAAGAGACACCAGCAGAACTGGTGCTCAATGGATGTGAGGGGAATAGTGTGGCTGGGAAAGAGAGTAGCTGTAGAGGACGTTGTGTCTTACCACACTTCTCTTGAGCATGCTGTGACTTGGGAGAAGCAGGAGAACTTGGAAAATGCATTTGCTGACTTCCAGCCAAGCTGGTAGTATCTATCACTGTGAAAAAAGAAAAGCAGGCTTTGTATATCTTGAAATGAAGTAGGATTTGTCTGTGAAATAAAGGGTTTTACCTGTCTGAGAGGCCTCTTGGAAGGAACACATGATCTCATTCCCTTCAGGGATGTCTGTATGCTCTGTGGGTGATGATGCATCCTGGAGTCCTCTCCAGATGATCAGTGCTTGGGTGACTCCTGGATGAATTATTTGTTCAGTAATTGCCAAGCCTTTATGGTTTTGTGTGGTTCAGGGATGTCCTTCTTTAACCACCTCTCTGAACTCATTGCAGGAGAGTCTTAAGCAAAGCAGGGACAGGAGCAGGTCATGCACCCTTATTCTTGCTGAAGTGTGCGACAAGGGCTCCAGCATGGCTTCAGACAGCACGGAGACAAAGACTGTCTAGAAAATATACAGTATGGTGACTCTTGGAGAAGATGAACACAAAGAGGAGACAACTGGTAGTGTGCCAAGTGCTAAATAAGGAAGGGACCACCCGGCCAGTGTGACCCTAATACAGGTCACTTGCATAAACAGAATGGCAATCTGGAACAAGATGCAAAGCTGTATAAGAAGGGAACTGGAAGCCTTCCAAACTATTTTGGTTCACAGGTGTGAGCAGGATAAATATTATTGTGATGTAACTTGGTGAGACATAAGTCTTTCTTGATCCCCAAAAGAATAACATGAGGTAATTCAGCAGTTATTTTAATATAAGAAATTATGTTCTGGGGACATTTTTAAAAAATGAATATGCATCTGTTTATATACTGATATTAGTTACTTTGAAAGGCCTTAAGTGTTTCCAGGACTTTGTGCCACTGCTCTTCAGATTAGAGACTCTATTTTTGGCACACCAGTTGCTGACAGTACATTGTGCCAATACATTGTCAGCATTCAGTAAAAGTAGCAATAATAAGTTAAGCAGAACTGCATATCTCAATAGAGAGGTGAATAGGAGGCTCTCTAAGCATACCTAGAAGGTTTAGACAGAAATTATTTTGATGGAATTGTTGGCAATTTATAGAAAAGGGAAGTGCTCAGCAATATCTCAGGACTGCTGCAGGTAGTGGGTCACAGCTAAGAGTTATCTCAATCTGAGTAAAAGTC